GTACCTGTTGAGGAAGGCGTTGCCGAAGGCATTGAGCTTGCGGAAGGGCCGCCGCCGGTCCACGACGAGCGCGTTACCCGGCACCACGCCCTCGGTGGGGCCGTGCATGACCGCGATGAAGGAGTCGGTAGTGGGCTCGGGCCCGATGCGCATCCCCGGGAAGTCCTGCTCGATCAAGTGCCGGATGAAGGTGGTCTTGCCCGTGCTGTACTGGCCCACGAGCAGCACCATCGGCTTGTTGTCGAAGTCCGCATCCTCCAGCGCCGGCGAGTGGAACTCGTGGAAGCGGTAGTGCTCCTCCAGGGGCAGCAGCTTCTGCGAGTACAGCTGCCGCAGCCCCTCGGCCACCATGTTGGAACTGCATTGATGTGTTATTAGTAACAAAGGAAGCCAGCGAACTGGGAAAGCAGATTTGCAATGTCTTGAGAGAAGCTAAAAGTGAACTGAAAACTTTATACTCAGGGAAAATAGCTGCCAGAAATGCACTTAAAACTAGCCACGTCTTTTCTGCCCTCTCTCCCATTGGCCGATTCCAAATCTCGCGAGCGCCGCTGGCCCGGAACCCCGCCCCACCTGGGTGCCATGGCAACCACACTTGTTTGGCCTCACACTTAGTGGGCGGCTCCCGGAAGTGCTGCGGTGGGAAAGGCGGGAAGCGGGAGTCGAGCGCGAGGAGGTCGGGGGCCTGCGTGCCTTCCAGCATCCGCGAGATACCCAGTTAAACACCCCAGCTTCCTGACCACGCGCCCACCCGCAGTTACCCCCCAAATGGTCGTCTTCCTCCTGCGGGCTCAGAATCCCGGGCAGCTCGGGAGGGCCCCGGAGGCCTCGCGCCCATCTGCCTGCCCTTCCTTGCCTCCTCCTCGCCTCGCTCCCGCTTCCCCGACACTTCCTCTCATCCCCGCATCTTTGGCTGCTTTGCGGGAGGCAGTAGCAAGAAAGAGATTGTAGGGGAAGCTGAACATCCAAGGCGGGGTGGTGACTAGGCAGAGAAAAATGCGGAGGGAGAGACCAATGGGGAAATTCGTCTGACATACTGCTCTAGCCGGTTTGGCTCAGTGGGTAGAGCGTCGGCCTGTTCGATTCCAGTCAAGGGCACATGCCCGGGTTGTGGGCTGGATCCCCAGTAGGGGACTTACAGGAGGCAGCCGATCCACGATTCTCTCTCATCGTGGATGTTTCTCTCTTTCTTCCTCTCTGAAATCAATAAAAATGTATTTAAAAAACCACACAAATGTATTAAAAAAAAAAAGAGGTGCCATCCCTCCGGCCAAAGGGCTGGGAATTATGGACACAAGCAGCGGAGGACGCCTGTGACACAGGATGTGGGGGAGAAGAGAAGGCGGGCGGGGGAATGAGGAAGTTGAGGCACTGGCCACAAGCGCTTTGCGGAAGAGGAAATTCCCCCTGTGGGGAGGAGGGGAAACGTGGGGCAACAGTGAAATCTTGTGGGAACTTTGGGGGAATTAAAAAACCCCAGTACTTCCGCTTTCCTCTCAAGGTCACCCCCAGTTACCGAGTTTTTACTCTTACCTACCAGTTCCTGGCTGTCCCCCTAGGCTCATTTTCCTGCCAGCACATCATCCCTGGCCACACACGGGTCCCCTGGACTGTCCAGGCTGGTGAGAATCTTCAGTGGGTGATGTCAGAGCTTTGGGGACCGTGATTGTTAGGTAACCAGTACAGGACACCAAAGTGCAGGAGTGGCGTCCTGGGGGGCTCCTGGCAGATCTAAAATGTTCTTGGGAACTTACTTGGAAACCTCATGTCCAGTTTTCTGGCTTCTGGGAGGTGTGGGAGCCTGGAGGGCTGGGAGTCTGTATCAGGGAAGAAAGCAGACTGACTGTCAGGCTAAGAGGACAGAGGTGGGAACTCAAATCTGAGCATAAACAATATTAGGGGAGCTGGGCCAAGGGGAGTCAGAGGGGGCAAGATGGGAGGTGGGTCACCCACCCTTAGGGGGTCAGGCCTCAGTGTCTTCTGAGAGGATAAGGAACGTTAAATCAACTGCCTTCCCCTATTTCTCTCTAAGCTTTGGAGAGCCCTGCCTGTACGCTGAGGTCCCTGCTTCACCTCTTTTGTTTGGATTTCATCCGCATCTTTTCATCAGTCACAGTAGAAGTCCTGAGGCCTTTTTCACGCATCCTCCTCAAAAAGGGATATTGAGACCCCTCTAGGCAGGCTGTCGCTATAAGGCTGTGTGCCAGCTGGTGACAGGCGCCTCCAGCAGGCCCAGCCCAGACTTCCTGGGTCAGCCTTGGAGCCAAAGGACTTGCCTCCTACGTGGCACTTTGAGGGGTCCACCCCGGAGATGCAGCTTCTGGGCTGTTCCGGGGAAGGGCCTGAGGCTGAGGACCCTGAAAGAAGTGGTTGTTCAGTGGCCTGAATGCGGTTTGGAGGAGCCGGGTGCCCGCAGCACTCACGCTGGCCCACCATGGTCTGCACCTCTCCCCAGAGCCCTGTGTGCCGGGAAAGCCCAGCCTATAACATTGAAAACAAAATGTTCCCGGGTTATTTATAAACGGAGCCCAGCCCCTGTTGCTGGTGGATGGCCGCTGGTTTTCTCTAAGGAGCTCAAAGGGCGGGAAGAGGGGCTCTTTCTCCCTCGCGAAGCTCAAATGGGCGGATGTTCGTGTCCCAGAGTTGGCGCCTAGATGCTGGGCGCCTTCTGCGTCTGGGGCTGCCCCGCTCTGGGCACATGTCCTCACTTTCCTTGTTTTTTGAGTCAGGTGGCTGCTATCTGATGAGAAAGTTTTGTGAACCGTGAATGAACCCTTTCACTTTTGGTTTCTCTGTTTCACTTTCTGTCTGTGCTCGGATCCCAGGGGGAACAGATTGAGGAAGGGTTCAGATATTTCCTTTATCTCAGAAATGACGCCCATCCCTCACTCCCAGTGTGTGTGTGTGTGCGCGCGTGTGTGTGTGTGTGTGTGTGCTTCTTTCACAAACACACACCTGCAAGCCCACCCCCCTCAGAGACTGCGCTCATCCAGCGGAAAGCGGCCACCTGCTTTCTCTCCGAGCGGTTTGCTCAGCCCCAGGTGGCCTGGTCTAGAGAAGTGTCTACAAGGTCGCTAAAAACAGCCTTAAAAAAAAGAAAGAAACAAAGAAAAATGGGTATTTTTCCCCTCCAAATATGGCAGAAGAATCAGGCCGGGGAAAAGCCCAAAACACATAGGTGTGTCCTGGGGCGAGAAGTGGCTCATTCTTCCCACTGAGAAAGTTTGCACAGCAGCGCAGCCTCTGGTCCTGCAGTCACGAGAAACAGATTTGGCCAACAGATCAGTTTTGCCAAAACAAAGTAAAGGACCGGGAGGCCTGCTGCTCCCAGCCCAGGGTCTCCAGGGCGGGAGGAAGGGCGTCCACAGCCCACGGGGCCTCTCCCGTCAAGAGGCGCCCCGGCGGTCAGGGCCCAGGAGCGAGGGCTCCACAGGCCTCGGAGGCCCAGCAGCCGGGCCGGCCGGCCTGGAAGTGACGGAGTCCGGGCTGCTCAGGGTCTCTGCTCCCAAATGTCAATGAGAACAAACCGAGGCCCTGGTGTCGCGTGGCTTCCGCGAGGTCCCCAGGCGGCAGGAGAAGCTGGGCTTTGGGACGCAAACACTGCTCTTTCCACACTCACACCATCTGAGGTCGCAAGGGCAGACGGGAGGCACCGCGGGAGGGGGTGACCAGCCTCTTTCTCCTGAAGCAGCCCCCCACCCTGCGGCCTGCGAGCCCAGCCTGCCAGGTTCCAGGGTGCGGTGCTCTCCTGAGGCAAGCTGCAGGGCTTCCGCACACGTTTAATAAAAACTATATGTGGCCCTGACCGGTATGGCTCAGTGGATAGAGCAGCCGTGGGCAAACTACGGCCCGCGGGCCGGATCTGGCCCGTTTGAAATGAATAAAACTAAAAAAGAAAAAGACAGACCATACCCTTTTATGTAATGATGTTTACTTTGAATTTATATTAGTTCACACAAACACTCCATCCATGCTTTTGTTCCGGCCCTCCGGTCCAGTTTAA